TTGTGTGAAATCATCTTGTCAAATTAATGCTTCAAACATGTTTATTCCTAAAAATGTTTATCCTAATTTCAAAACCATTTTATGATGGGTATTCAGAGTATCTCAGAGTAAAATACGTAAAGCCTATATCTTAACTGTGTTTTTCCTTGACACAATCCTCTTACCAGTAAAAGGTTTTAATAATGTGTGCCGTGTGGCACAGTAATTGTTGTTACTTACTTTCCGTGTCCGGAAATCAGACTTCGCTTTTCCAAAAATTAGCTACCGATATGGCTTTGTCATGAAATGAAATGAAAAATATCTTTATTTAAGAGGCGAAGTTAGGACTAGCAAGTCCTCTCTACCACTTAACCTCTAAAACATAAATAAACTATCCACTTTATAAATAAAATTAAATAATCTAAGGGACCATATTATAAACATGTTGAAATTAAATTTAAACCCAAAAAGTCCATTCACACAAGCCGCCAACAACCCGCCACACCAGCGCCAGAGACTCATTCATGCCTGCTACTCAAAATCATAGATTTTATCTCTGCCCCAAACCTTGCACGGTTCTCTATGGATTTTATATGGTCAGGAAGAAAATTCCACATTCGAATTGCAGATACTGTACTAAGAAAGATTTATTAAAGACTGTTGACCGGTGAATTGGTGGAGATAAAAGAAGAGAGCCTCTACGAGTGGAACGGGTACTGATGTCAGAAATGAAATGGAAGTTATCTGATAAATACTTAGGAATTTTACTGTTGATAATGGAGTGTAGAAGACGGAGGGTGTGAAATTCCCGAAGTTCACTTAGCCTCATTAATGAAAGCAGGTTGAAATAGGGAGTCACATGGTCATATCGTCTAAGGCCAAATATGAATCTGTTACAGGAATTCTGCGCTCGCTGAAGTCTGCTAGAAACCTCATTAGTCATGTCATTGATCACCACATCACAGTAGTTGAAATGAGTCAAGATGAGAGTTTTTACTAACATGATTTTCAAGTTCAGTCGAAGGTATTCTGCGAAACGTTTGATGGTGTGAATAGCCCCAAAATCCCTGTTACAAGTGGAATTTGCTTGGTTAGACTAATTCAAATGTTTGTTCATTATGAGTCCTAAGTTTCTCACTTTGTCGCAGTAGGTAAGGTCTTTTCCGTCAAAGCTAAGTTGTGGTGCAGTGAGTAAGTTTATTTTAGTCATTAATCTGGGGTAGCCAACAATAATTGCTTGAGTTTTGTCAATGTTGAGTTTAAGTCCGTTGTTTGTGGCCCAGTGAGTTATTGATTCAATGTCAATGTTCATGAGTCGCACAGCAGTCTCCATCTCGTCTACATTAAAGTGAGAGTAAATCTGTAAGTCGTCAGCATACAGATGGTAGTGTGAGTTAGTGATATGTTCTGTGATGTCATTGATGTAAATTGAGAACAGTAGTGGGCCAAGAACAGATCCTTGAGGAACACCTCTAGTAATCTGCTCCCAAGTATAACATTTGTCACCAGCTTTGACACACTGCTGACGATCAGATAAATAGGACTCAATCCAGTCAACACAGTTATCAGAGAAACCAGCCAAGCGCAGTTTCAGGAGTAAAAGAGGATGGTATACGCAGTCAAACGCCTTTGAAAAGTCAAAGAGGGTTAAAATAGTGGCCTGTCTGTTATCCATTGCACGGCGGATGTCATCAGTAATTTTCAACAAAGCAGTGGTAGTGCTATATTTCGCGCGAAACCCAGATTGAAAATCCGAAAAGACTTTCTCTTCCAAAAAAACTGAGAATTTACTATGCACTATTCTTTTGCATGTCATTCGCATGTAAAAGATCATCTAATGTACAAGACTGGTTTAGGCGTGGGCAGATCAGCAGATGGCCAGGATCCTGAACAGCACCACACGCGCACAAGATGTTTTCTTTGTCTGGTAAGTGACCCCATTTCTGCATGGGGTCTCTTAAAATATGATACAACCGGACGACTTCGAAAAAAACTTGTTGTTAGAAAACCATGAATTTAGAATACTATCCATTTTCGAACTTATCAAAATAGGAATATTTCTTTGGCCCGTGGGCCGTGACTAGAAAGATCCCAACTATTGGAAATTTATGAAAATTTTAAATTTTTTAACATTTTAACACATATTGACAGTTAAAGAACCTTAAAACTTTGTTACCTAAGTAAATTCATTGAGCGGAGCGAGCGAAGCGAGCGAAGCTCTTTGGGATCAACTTCAATGCAACAAATAGAGAAACATCACTCAATAACGGCTGAACGCATTTCAGCCAAACTTAACAAAATTACTTAGACTAATAGTGAGATGGTTTTAAACAAACAAATTTCAATTAGATAATGCTAATGCAATTTAAAACGAACTTAAAATTTCCAATTTTTAACATTAGGCTTATGGGACTAAAGTAGCCATATGACAGTTTTTTGTTTACAAGAAAAATGTAAACAAGAGAATCATAAGGTATTTCTGAACTTTCTAGACTTTTCTTTTAAACGTTTTAAAATCATTCCTATGATCTTAATAAACAAGAAAATACCGTTAAAACATTTTTTAAGGCGCGGACTTCACTACAAATTGCGAAAATAGACGGAACTACTTTCTCAATGCGCGGAGCATATTGCAGTGACTACTCGACTTACTCTTGGGCACCTATTTGTGTTGCCAGCTGATTAGAAACAGTCAATGTTAGAAATAAGGATTTAATAAGCGATATATCGAACCGCATCGAAATCGATATTTAATCCGATAATACCTTACAGGTTATATTATGTTGAATTACATCGACGATACAGTAAGTTATTACACTTATTAATAAAACGCAGATTGAACCCTGATCTAATTTAGGCATGTGGGGAGGTAGGTCGGGGTTTATGAGTATTCGTGACTACATTAAGTGTTTTGAAGTAACGTTAGATTAGGAAGGTAAAGTGTAGGTTATAGGTAGGTGATCGGTTTATTTATTTCTGTTGCACCATATTATTTTTTTTATTTTTTGGAATATTGGATAAACAGGGAAACGATTTCAAAAATGCTTGCATTATGGTCTTAACAAACCATCTACAGTATTCTAGCATTGACTTTATATAAAGTCAATGATACTAGCAAATTACTACATTACTACATACAGACCAAAAGAAAAGAGCATTTGGATTTGGACCTTAAATCGTCCCAATAATGGTAGAAGACCTACATTCCAGTTACATTACAATCATATCCTCCATCAAGAATACTTGGTATTAACAATCATAAACTATTTCCAGCAAAGAAAGCTGAGTTTAACTGATTGCAATGGTTGAAATGAAGACGAATGTTATGTGGCACAGTTGAATTTAAATGTCAAATTTCCCCTCCTGATATTATACTTTAATACTCGTTTACTTTACTTAAATACTTTAACTGATTGTAAGGGTGAAAAATGAAGTCCAATGTTTTTGTTCTAGGCTACAGTTGAATTTGAATGTTAAATTTCCTTTCTTTTTTATACTTGAATGCCCTTTATGGATGTTCATATCAGATTCCAACTACTGTAATATTTTTCTGGTCAAAACCTACCATATTCACTTCTGGCGAGGTATCTGAATAACAAGATGTAGTTAAAACAAATTTGAATTATTATAATTTGTATCAATAAAACAAGCATTAGTATATCTATTGACTTTTTTACATTTAGTTACTTATACAAATATCAAATCACGTTTGTTCCGCTCAACTGGCTTTCACCTCTCTGAAAGCAACCCTAGTATTTTTTAATCTAAGAGTTGTCAATCCATGCCTTAGTTCCCTGTATAAAAAAGGTTAGAATTTATGAAACTGTATGGATTTTAATTCTTAAACTATCATCAAAAACTTGAGGTTTTTAATATATGTGAAGCACTTTTGTTAGAACTCATGTTTAAACATCCTTTGACCTAACATATTAAAAATTCGCTGTTTCTTTATGTTTTCCAGCTTTACAATTTGGCATTATTAAAGTATTAGAACTTTCAACCTTGCCATACTAGAACTAGTTCATTAAATTTTCAACCAACAAAAGGGGAATTAAATCTAAATATAATACTAACTTAATTTTTTAAATTTTAATTATTTGCCATTGGACCGATCCATCTCGTAGCATTGGTGCTGGACCCTAAAATGGAAGGCAATTTGCTTGACCCTATCGTGCTACTTGACTTGACACCATTGGTTATGTTTGTGATTGTGCTTAGAGCAGATGAATTTGGACGTCTTAAAAGTAAGAGAAAGTCTAGCTGACTATATATTTCAGTTTTTGTGATTGATTTAACCATATCATTACAGATTTTACCTATTAAGTAACAGTTTTTAAACCTACCTTGCTATTTAATTATAAATTCCCGGGTATTTTGGAAATTTGGGAATATTTCCTCGATTTTAAATACCCGGGAATTTTACATCATGGCACAGTGCTGCCACCCGGACAACACTACTCAAGTTGCAATTCTCTGGAGATGGCCAGGGTTAATGTTAATAGCTATGTTTGATACAGACACAGTTGTCACTGAGGGAGGTGGTTTGTAATGCCAACTGCAGTGAGCCTGGGTGTTCACGTGTGGCTGTACACACACTCCGCAGTGCTGCCACCCAGACAACACTACTCAAGCTACATTTCTCTGGAGATGAACAGGGTTTATGTTAATAGCTATGTTTGATACAGACACAGTTGTCACTGAGGGAGGTGGTATGTGTTGCCAACTGCAGTGAGCCTGGGTGTTCATGTGTGGCTGTACACACACTGCACAGTGCTGCCACCCAGACAACACTACTCAAGCTACATTTCTCTGGAGATGAACAGGGTTTATGTTAATAGCTATGTTTGATACAGACACAGTTGTCACTGAGGGAGGTGGTATGTGTTGCCAACTGCAGTGAGCCTGGGTGTTCACGTGTGGCTGTACACACACTGCACAGTGCTGCCACCCAGACAACACTACTCAAGCTACATTTCTCTGGAGATGGCCAGGGTTTATGTTAATAGCTATGTTTGATACAGACACAGTTGTCACTGGGGGAGGTGGTATGTGTTGCCAACTGCAGTGAGCCTGGGTGTTCACGTGTGGCTGTACACACACTCCGCAGTGCTGCCACCCAGACAACACTACTCAAGCTACATTTCTCTGGAGATGAACAGGGTTTATGTTAATAGCTATGTTTGATACAGACACAGTTGTCACTGAGGGAGGTGGTTTGTAATGCCAACTGCAGTGAGCCTGGGTGTTCACGTGTGGCTGTACACACACTCCGCAGTGCTGCCACCCAGACAACACTACTCAAGCTACATTTCTCTGGAGATGAACAGGGTTTATGTTAATAGCTATGTTTGATACAGAAAAAGTTGTCACTGGGGGAGGTGGTATGTGTTGCCAACTGCAGTGAGCCTGGGTGTTCATGTGTGGCTGTACACACACTCCGCAGTGCTGCCACCCAGACAACACTACTCAAGCTACATTTCTCTGGAGATGAACAGGGTTTATGTTAATAGCTATGTTTGATACAGACACAGTTGTCACTGAGGGAGGTGGTTTGTAATGCCAACTGCAGTGAGCCTGGGTGTTCACGTGTGGCTGTACACACACTCCGCAGTGCTGCCACCCAGACAACACTACTCAAGCTACATTTCTCTGGAGATGAACAGGGTTTATGTTAATAGCTATGTTTGATACAGACACAGTTGTCACTGAGGGAGGTGGTATGTGTTGCCAACTGCAGTGAGCCTGGGTGTTCATGTGTGGCTGTACACACACTGCACAGTGCTGCCACCCAGACAACACTACTCAAGCTACATTTCTCTGGAGATGAACAGGGTTTATGTTAATAGCTATGTTTGATACAGACACAGTTGTCACTGAGGGAGGTGGTATGTGTTGCCAACTGCAGTGAGCCTGGGTGTTCACGTGTGGCTGTACACACACTGCACAGTGCTGCCACCCAGACAACACTACTCAAGCTACATTTCTCTGGAGATGGCCAGGGTTTATGTTAATAGCTATGTTTGATACAGACACAGTTGTCACTGGGGGAGGTGGTATGTGTTGCCAACTGCAGTGAGCCTGGGTGTTCACGTGTGGCTGTACACACACTCCGCAGTGCTGCCACCCAGACAACACTACTCAAGCTACATTTCTCTGGAGATGAACAGGGTTTATGTTAATAGCTATGTTTGATACAGACACAGTTGTCACTGAGGGAGGTGGTTTGTAATGCCAACTGCAGTGAGCCTGGGTGTTCACGTGTGGCTGTACACACACTCCGCAGTGCTGCCACCCAGACAACACTACTCAAGCTACATTTCTCTGGAGATGAACAGGGTTTATGTTAATAGCTATGTTTGATACAGAAAAAGTTGTCACTGGGGGAGGTGGTATGTGTTGCCAACTGCAGTGAGCCTGGGTGTTCATGTGTGGCTGTACACACACTCCGCAGTGCTGCCACCCAGACAACACTACTCAAGCTACATTTCTCTGGAGATGAACAGGGTTTATGTTAATAGCTATGTTTGATACAGACACAGTTGTCACTGAGGGAGGTGGTTTGTAATGCCAACTGCAGTGAGCCTGGGTGTTCACGTGTGGCTGTACACACACTCCGCAGTGCTGCCACCTGGACAACACTACTCAAGCTACATTTCTCTGGAGATGAACAGGGTTTATGTTAATAGCTATGTTTGATACAGAAAAAGTTGTCACTGGGGGAGGTGGTTATGTTGCCAACTGCAGTGAGCCTGGGTGTTCATGTGTGGCTGTACACACACTGCACAGTGCTGCCACCCAGACAACACTACTCAAGCTACATTTCTCTGGAGATGAACAGGGTTTATGTTAATAGCTATGTTTGATACAGAAAAAGTTGTCACTGGGGGAGGTGGTATGTGTTGCCAACTGCAGTGAGCCTGGGTGTTCATGTGTGGCTGTACACACACTGCACAGTGCTGCCACCCAGACAACACTACTCAAGCTACATTTCTCTGGAGATGAACAGGGTTTATGTTAATAGCTATGTTTGATACAGACACAGTTGTCACTGAGGTAGGTGGTTTGTAATGCCAACTGCAGTGAGCCTGGGTGTTCACGTGTGGCTGTACACACACTCCGCAGTGCTGCCACCCGGACAGCACCACTCAAGCTACATTTCTCTGGAGATGAACAGGGTTTATGTTAATAGCTATGTTTGATACAGACACAGTTGTCACTGAGGGAGGTGGTTTGTAATGCCAACTGCAGTGAGCCTGGGTGTTCACGTGTGGCTGTACACACACTCCGCAGTGCTGCCACCCGGACAGCACCACTCAAGCTACATTTCTCTGGAGATGAACAGGGTTTATGTTAATAGCTATGTTTGATACAGACACAGTTGTCACTGAGGGAGGTGGTTTGTAATGCCAACTGCAGTGAGCCTGGGTGTTCATGTGTGGCTGTACACACACTCCGCAGTGCTGCCACCCAGACAACACTACTCAAGCTACATTTCTCTGGAGATGAACAGGGTTTATGTTAATAGCTATGTTTGATACAGACACAGTTGTCACTGGGGGAGGTGGTATGTGTTGCCAACTGCAGTGAGCCTGGGTGTTCATGTGTGGCTGTACACACACTCCGCAGTGCTGCCACCCAGACAACACTACTCAAGCTACATTTCTCTGGAGATGAACAGGGTTTATGTTAATAGCTATGTTTGATACAGACACAGTTGTCACTGGGGGAGGTGGTATGTGTTGCCAACTGCAGTGAGCCTGGGTGTTCACGTGTGGCTGTACACACACTCCGCAGTGCTGCCACCCAGACAACACTACTCAAGCTACATTTCTCTGGAGATGAACAGGGTTTATGTTAATAGCTATGTTTGATACAGACACAGTTGTCACTGGGGGAGGTGGTATGTGTTGCCAACTGCAGTGAGCCTGGGTGTTCACGTGTGGCTGTACACACACTCCGCAGTGCTGCCACCCAGACAACACTACTCAAGCTGCAATTCTCTGGAGATGAACAGGGTTTATTTATGTTAATAGCTATGTTTGATACAGACACAGTTGTCACTGGGGGAGGTGGTTTGTGTTGCCAACTGCAGTGAGCCTGGGTGTTCACGTGTGGCTGTACACACACTCCGCAGTGCTGCCACCCAGACAACACTACTCAAGCTACATTTCTCTGGAGATGAACAGGGTTTATGTTAATAGCTATGTTTGATACAGACACAGTTGTCACTGGGGGAGGTGGTATGTGTTGCCAACTGCAGTGAGCCTGGGTGTTCACGTGTGGCTGTACACACACTCCGCAGTGCTGCCACCCAGACAACACTACTCAAGCTACATTTCTCTGGAGATGAACAGGGTTTATGTTAATAGCTATGTTTGATACAGACACAGTTGTCACTGGGGGAGGTGGTATGTGTTGCCAACTGCAGTGAGCCTGGGTGTTCACGTGTGGCTGTACACACACTCCGCAGTGCTGCCACCCAGACAACACTACTCAAGCTACATTTCTCTGGAGATGAACAGGGTTTATGTTAATAGCTATGTTTGATACAGACACAGTTGTCACTGGGGGAGGTGGTATGTGTTGCCAACTGCAGTGAGCCTGGGTGTTCACGTGTGGCTGTACACACACTCCGCAGTGCTGCCACCTGGACAGCACCACTCAAGCTGCAATTCTCTGGAGACACAGATCTAAATGATTGGCTCGCTAATCTAACTTCCGGTAAGCCTACAGTGTTACAATCTATACTATTATACTATTATAAAAAGAAGTCTCCGTGTGTTTGTATGAGCTAATCTCAAAAACTACTGCACCTACTGGGCTCAAATTGCACACAAATGAAGCTACAGCTCTGAGGATACATATAGAACTATTCCCGCTTCGATATTGACCAAGGACTCTGCCCCGTGGGCTTTCAAAAATCGGAAGTGAGAGATATAAAAGTAAATACTAAATATTGATTGATGGCATCCATGGTAATAAAGAACACGAGACCTTACCGTCAGACCGCCACCGCCCACCACCGCGCCGTGCAGAACGCATCATACCATGCATAGCCGAACTGTTCGTGATAAATTGTTAGCTCTATCACTGTCGCTGTCAAAATGTATCGTTTGTAGATTGAATTTAAATTAATTTAACTGTCATAACCTAACCAAACGTTGTCGCCCAGAATTAATCATGTGCGTACGCGAGTTGTGGCCACAGCTACGACAATACCGATCGGTCCTTAAATGTAGCAATTATGTGTTCGTGATATGTGTTATGACTGTTTTGTGTTAATGTTCAAGACGAAGCGATAGCGGATCACCTGATGATGTCACTGTGTTGACGAAACGCGTCGTATGACTACACCATTTTGGAACGTTAGAAGGTAACATTATATTATTATCATATAATTGGTCTGTCATCTTACGGAAAGAGTCAATATTACTAATAACTGGTTACATCTGCTGTAGGAAAATCATTCAGACCGTATTTGGATTGCATAAGTGAATCACACTTCTTTGGTCATAAAAATACAACATTTTTTCAGCATATTAATCAGTTTTTTTGCATTTGATAAAATATCTGATTCTCCAGAAGGCAGAAACATTCTTACTTCAATCCAAGCAATTTTGATTCCTTATCTTGCCACATCGTATTGACCAATGTATTTAATCATCATGTACTTATTTGCTAATTGATTAACTTCTGGCGTAGTTTTGCCTAGGTCGTAAGTTGTGCATGTATTTTGTGGATGGGATGGACCATAATTTTAGTGAATTTGGACACAAACCTTGAACATTTGCTGAACCAAATCCATAACCTTGGTTGCAAACAACAAGACATCCTTGGTTGGCAACAAATTATGCAAATGAGATGAGATGTGATGGCACTGTTGTATTTCCGAATGTTTTTTATGTAGTGAGGGAGTTACACGACGACTTGCCAATAAAAACCACAACGCGAGTTATCACCAGGCGGGGTCTACTAGGCCACTATAATCCAATACACAACTCTAATGCCCAAGCTAAGAATCAAACAGTTCACTCAATAATCGTACCACATAATAATATACAAGTACACTATAGGTAGAGTGACTACACCACTAGTAGCTGGTCTCAATAAATACCAAGCCAAACAAGCAAAATTAAATGGCAATTGCACTATTAAAATATTGAGCTACTTAGTAGCAGATAAATAAATATTAAATACGTTCCAAACACTAGATAAATATATTATCTGATAGCCGGTACTCCGCTACCCAAGCTACCAAGATAACGTGTTGGACTAACAAACAAGCTGTTCAGGTTAAATTAAAATAATCAAATGAATAAACAATAACAACCCTACTACTGCTACTGCTACTACCAACTTTATGTTACTTAGCTGGGCTTCTGTTAATAGGCTAATAATATTAGCTACTAGCCTACTGGCCACGTGTTTCCAACTACGCACGCTAAATCGTGCAGCCTAGGTTTGTCGGGCCTCAGAGTTATTAGTAATATAACTAACTCTTGGTACAACGCAAAATAATAACTACTACAGTCAATAAATTATATTACTTGCGCTCTAGCACCTGCCCAGAACCGTCAAGAATACACTTTAATATTATTCCTGACTAATATAAATCCTAACTACCGTCAGGCTTTGACCAGCACGGTTACAACTCTAACCCTCGCAAATAAATCAGATATTAATATTATCAAACTAATAATATCAAGTCGTCCACTCACCTCAAGTGGGTCACTGACTTACTACCCAACTTGACACCAACACGCCTTGAGCACCAATATCACACCGATGTCACCAAAGCACTACACGTCTCACTAACAATTACGCTCGCTCTTCACTGCACGGGATCCACGACTAGAATGTCCTTCCTAGACTGTGCTGAAGTTCCAGGATATCCCAGGCTTATCCGAACTGATAAGCCGGGTCAAAGGGCGCTAGCTAGGTTCGCCGCAGCCGCTTGCTTACCTCTACAATCGGTACGCGGCCAAATAGCGAAAATATACCCCCCTAGGAAAAATAACTCGTTACATCCCCCACTTACATCGGGATGAAAAAAAAGAAAACGGCCAAAAAGAAAAAAAATCTTTGAACTCTGGCCAAAACAAAATACTCCAGCCCCTAACCCAATGGTGAATCCTACACCACAGGTCTCAAACTCAAACAAAGAAAAACTCGTCTACTCGCCACTACCAGCCAACATGGTGCTGAATGAATTGGCATCAGGAACCAGACGGGGATTTCCATTGCAAGGGCCTTCGGGGTCTGCGTCACCAATTTTGACACTGTCTATGCGGCCTCCTTGGCCAGAACAGTCATCACCCACGCCCATTATTACTATCTCTGTCCCACATGTCACCAATCCGAGGTCTCGGATGACACCCATACCCAGAATTATGTCTATGGTGAGAGTGGGAACGTACAAGGCATCTCCCATCCACCGTCTTCCCGCAGCTTCTCCTGCTAGCCGAAACGAATACTCGGCCCTCGACCGTGTCCCATCTGCCATCCTTAGAGGAGTGGCCTTCTTACATGGCTCTATCCCCTGGCGTTGAAGATGTTCGGCGACTCCTCGCCCAACCAAGTTGACGACGGACCCAGTGTCCAGTAACGCCACGAAAACGCTGCCCATCAGCACAACTTCAACAAAGGGCCTAGATTCCAAAGTTAGCCGGTCCTCGTCTACTCCACCAACCAGGCTGTTTAGTTTTCCGAGCCACTCGGACCACTCTTCTGAGGTCGTTCGTTTTGGGTGGCCTTGCCCAGTTGACCTCCTGATGTCTGAGCTGGCCTGCCGTTTCCCGCCCGACATCCACACTGACTCACCGTCAAACCAGGTTTGCCACACCCATAACAGGAGACGGTCCTTGGTTTACCACATTCTCGGGCATAGTGACCAATCTCCTGGCACCTAAAACATTTCACCTTCCCCTTTGGACCCTCAGGCGCTCTAGCTGCTATCACGGGCCGTTGACCGTGGACCCGATCCGACTTCAAAGCTACCCGCCCACGCGACTCGGCTTCCGGAGATGGTCTCTCGAAACTCCGCTTCTCGACGGCGGCAGTTTCGGCGCGCTTCTCCACCTTCTTTTTGGGTGTGTAGGCGGTTTCCAAAACCAGCGCTACGTTCGGAGAAGGAGGAGGTCTAAAGGCCGCCTTCTCTCGCAGATAGGCCTCGTAGTCTTCGGCCAACTCAACCATCTCGGCCAGATTGCGGAAGTCCCGCCGTCGCACCATGAGTTTGTACTCAGGTCGCAGGTTGTTGTAGATCAAGTCCAATCTATCTTGCTCTGAAAACGTACCGCTACGCCTAAGCAAGGTACTTATGGCAACAACGTAGTCCCGGAAGTGCTCGCCTTCACCCTGTGTCCTTTTCCGGATCTCCTCATCCAAGTTCCTCCAATATCCTGGTGGGAAGAACTGGATTTCAAACTGACGCCGGAAAGCTTCAAAGGAATACAGGAGCTCCTTGCAATTCCTGTACCATAGAAGCGCTGAGCCTTGCAACAGCTCCGGCAGCGCTCTGAGCAGGTCCTCTGATGTTATAGAGTACGAGACCATCAGCTCTTCAAGGCGCTCCAGGAACGACACAGGGTCTCGTCGGCCATCAAACCTTAACCCCCACTTCCGTACCGTGTTGCATATTTTGGAGCAATCCTTTGGCTCCACCCTGCTGGCCTCATTCGAGAGTATACCCGAGCCTCGTGGCAGCTCCAAGCTAGAAGGACGGACTGGTCTCTCCGAATGATCGTTAGGTCGCTGCCATCCCTGGGTCTACTGGGTAACCCAAAGGTAGGCATGGGAGCAGCCACAACAGGGGACGCAGGGTTGGCGGGTCTTTTGAACCCATAGCCGACCTCATTACTCGGCGAGCCTCTCGCCTGTCGCACCACCAATGCCAGATGTTCTCTAAGAGTCCGGGTATCGGTCTCCGAAGACAACCCAAGGATCTCTTTAATGGCCTCTAACTCCCTGCCAAGTCCCACTATTTCTATTTGGCCCGATGCAATACTACCCAGTACCTGAGGTACGGTTCTCGGGGGGTCAGGAAGCTCCACAGTTGTAGTAGCCGGCGGTAAAAATGTCGGTGCAGCAGCCCCAGCCGTACACAGCCTATCATCGCTGTACCGACGGGCATTCCGCTGCTTCCAAAACGACGAGAATCTCTGCCGTAATTCAGCAGAAGTCCCAGTGGTCACCAAACCATACTGGTCCATCGTCCTCATGAGCTCCCCTTTCGAGAGGTCATATATCCAACCCACGCTACCGCCCCGGGGCTGCGACCCCAAGGACATAGTCGCTGGCGCGGAATAGGTCAGAGACGTTGTCACCGTCGTACCCACGACCGATGAAATAGTCGGCCAAACAGGCGAAGACGCAGGCCACAATGACGACGTCGTCATCACCGACAGTTCGGAGCTAACCCCAGAACTAGTTGTAACAATAGCAGACGTGATAGGCGTACCGCCTAGCACAGACGTCGTACTCGTAGTCACAACCATATTTAAAATCCAAATTCCACGACTAATCCGCAAAAATAAGAGCGAAACCAATTAAAATATATTTAACACCGTTATAATAAATCAAACCAATAATAGGTGTGAAAGTCAAACCACAAATACACGATAAGGGTTCTCACTCAAATAATATTCAATGATAAAGCTCAATTAATTAGCAAAATTAAAATTACTAACTAATATTTATGTATACAACCACTAAATAAATTA